TCCTGTTTGAGACTCATCACTTCAGCCGCCAATGATTCAACTTGGCGGGTTCGAGCAAATAGGCGTTGGGCCATATTAGACACAGAACCTGCACACTGAACACTGAGAGCCAGAGAATCCTTAACAGCTAACTCATCAGATCGTTTGGAAAGTAGTCTGTTATCTTTGGGAGTGAGAAGGTTTCTGGCCACCACCGCAGCGGTCATATCATTCTTCATAACGGAATCCCCAACGGTAAGAGGACCAGTAGGGGAGACGAAGGATGGGCGCCATATGTTGTCTGGAGAAGGCGGGGCTGCCTCTTCAACAAGGTTCAAGTCAAAACGACGGTCGGAGGGGCCAGACATTTTCAAAGGTGTTGAAGAGAGAAGAGGTCGAACAAATCAAGATCTTAGAAGTGTAAGAATGGAGCTTCTACTGGTGGAGATTCAAGTGTGCTTTGGAACTTAATGCCAGCCCCTATAAAAATCTGCACTCGACGGAGCTTCAGAAATCGAAGAGGCGCCTGCTCAGAAATCGAAGAGGCGTTTGCTTTCTCAAAAGTTGGGCTGCTCAGAGACCACGAGGGTCGATCTCAGAAATCGAAGAGGCGTCTGCTTTCTCAAAAGTTGGGCTGCTCAAAGACCACGAAGGCCGATCTCAGAAATCGAAGAGGCGCTTGCTTTCTCAAAAGTTGGGCTGCTCAGAGACCACGAGGGCCGATCTCAGAAAATCGAAGAGGCACCTACTTTTCCAGCCTTGGCAGCACCTTTCACACGCACACTCAGCTTTGCGGAAATTATGGGCATTCTGTCGAAGACTTCTGGTGAAGTAGAAAGCACATGAGTCTTACTGTTCAATCACCCACTTCCCACACGCAATAGTAGCTCATGTGTATCACAGATAACTTTGCCAAAGTTCTCTGCCAAAGTTGAGCACGTGAAGCTTGCAGCTTCCACTACATCGCTCTGACCAAGACGGGTAAAAGAATAGCAAAGAAACAGCACTAACAAAGTTTAGACACATAAATTTTGAAGGTCTAGCTACCCCATATTATTACCCACAAGGGTAAAGGAACAGTATCACTGCTGGATAATTGGAAAGTCCCTGTGTGTCAACCTCTGTGCTTCGTGGCAAGGTAGACTAGCAAACATGCCCAACCTTTACTCACATTCGAGAAAACACTCCCAACAAGATTGCTTGCTCCAAAATCGAAGAGGCACCGTCCTCCGAATCTCGAGAGCCAGACTCCCAACATGACTACTTTCTCAAAAATCGAAGAGAGAGTAAAGGAACAGTACCATTGCTGGATAATTGGAAAGTCCCTGTGTGTCAACCTCTGTGCTTCGTGGCAAGGTAGACTAGCAAACATGCCCAACCTTTACTCACATTCGAGAAAACACTCCCAACAAGATTGCTTGCTCCAAAATCGAAGAGGCACCGCCCTCCGAATCTCGAGAGCCAGACTCCCAACATGATTACCTTCTCAAAAATCGAAGAGACACCGCTCTCCGAATCTCGAGAGCCAGACCCCCAGCAGGATTGCTTTCTCAAAAATCGAAGAGACATCGTTCTCCGAATCTCGAGAGCTAGATCCCTGATAGGATTGCTTGTTCGAAAACCGAAGAGGCAACACTTTCCCAACTACAAGAGCCGGATCTCCTTGGATAAAGCTGTCTGTAATCTTCACACGCAACATCAGCTTTCCACATACCACAGACCACTTTTTCAAAGTGCTCTGACAGGGTAAAGGAATAGCATTACTACTTGTTGTTAAGGAGACTCCTATATATGTCAACCTCCATCCCCAACGGACAGACAGACCTGCAAAAATGCTCAACCCTTCCTCATATATGAGAGGGCACTCTCAACGAAGCCTTTCGAAATATTCAGCTTTCTTTCCCCCCGATAATACCTCTGCAAACAAGTTATACTAGAGCAAGAATATCTCATATCATCAGGGTTAAAAGCAAGAGTATCCCATATCATGCTTTTTCCCTGTCTTTTCCTTTGGCCTTGTTCTTACCTGCAAGACAAGGAGAAAGAGAGCAATCAGTCAGCACTTGGAATCAAGCTTCCAGCCAGGAACTGACTGCCTGGAACTTACTTACCTGGCATTGCTCTCGAGTACTCATCTTCAACATCTTATGCTTCCAGGGAAGATACCGCATCTGCCTGAGGAACAGATAGGGCAAGTGAGAAGGATACAAGGAAGCATGTGGAGACAAGCGTAACAGCACACGTGCCGATACATCCATTACTCTGTCAAAGCAAAAGTATCCCATATCAGTAGGGTCGAACGTACTCTAGATTTGATGGACTTGTTTTGACCCTCAAATTCTTCAGTCGGCCTTATACTCTGGAGGAAACCAGAAAACCCTCCAGCTCAGTTCAAGAATAAGCCTGTGGAAAGTTACTTCTTCAAAAGCAAAAGTATCCCATATCATCTCTTCTCATTTTTCTTCTCTTTATCCTTCATGCTGCCTGCAAGATAGGGAGAATGTGAACAATCAGCCGGAGCTCTGATTGCTTACCTTGTCTGTCACCTCTTTCAGCAAATCCCCTAGCTCGGCAACTTGAGGGACTCCTACTACATGGTTTGTATCGCGCTTGACCAAGCCTGAAACTACAAGTAAGCTTCAAGTGAAATTGATACATTACCTTGTGCATCTCCACCAGTTAAAGATACCACCCCTGGATGGAGGAAGAGTACTTCCAGAGAAGATGCCACATCTACCTGTGAGACAGATAAGGCAAGTCAAGACGATACCACATTCCGATACTTAGAAGTTTCGTGATTACGAGATCATTCTCCCACAATATTTCCTAATGTCATTTGTACTAAATCATTCACCTGTACTCACTAAAGGAAAGCTTGAACCTATGTACTTGTGTAAACCCTTCACAATTAATGAGAACTCCTCTATTCCGTGGACGTAGCCAATCTGGGTGAACCACGTACATCTTGTGTTTGCTTTCCTATCTATATCCATTTATATACTTATCCACACTAATGATCGGAGCAATCTAGCGAAGATCACAAAAAGCGACCGTTTTCGCTACCTAGGATATATCGTGCAAGAGAACGGAGAATTAGAGAGATCTCAACCATAGAATAGAAGTTGGATAGATGAAGTGTAAGAGTGCATCCGGCGGGTTGTGTAACCGTCGTAGGCCACTGAAGCTCAAGGGAAAATTTTATAGGACGGCAATAAAGCCAGCGATGTTGTATGGCACAGAATGTTGGGCGGTGAAGCATCAACACGTACACAAAATGGGTGTGGCGGAGACGAGGATGCTTCGTGGGATGTGTGGGCACACAAGAAATGATAAGATTGGAAATGAGGATATTCGAGGTAAAGTAGGAGTGGCCGAAATTGAAGGAAAGATGAGAGAAAATCGGTTCCGGTGATTTGGACATGTGCAAAGAAGGCCTACTGATGCTCCGGTTCGAAGATGTGACTACGGGACAGAGGTTCAGGGCCAAAGGGGTAGAGGAAGACCTAGGAAAACTTTGGAAGAGACTCTAAGAAAAGACTTAGAGTACTTGGTTCTAACGGAGGACATGACACAAAACCGAGCGCAATGGCGTTCTAGGATTCATATTTTTAAACCCCACTTAGTGGGAAAAGGCTTTGTTGTTGTTGTTGTTGTTGTATAGTTTTAATAATTTTTCTCCTCTCTCAACTAATGCTATTGCCTATTATGTTTTGCACAGGAATCAAACTGTGTGTTTGTTTAAAATATAAACTATGGTGAGGATCAAATTTATGGCAGAGATGTTTCAGTCCGATGAATTTTCTGTTGGTTTTAATTTTCTTCAGATGGTGGTGAATTGAGAGAGAACATGTCCGATGAATTTTCTGTTGCTTTTAATTTTCTTCAGATGGTGGTGAATTGAGAGAGAACATGGTGTTTGGTTACGAGATTAAGGGTGTTTGGTTGCCGAAATTATGAGTGTTTGAAAGTATGTGTCTTCGATTTATTGGGCCACATAGTTTGGTCAGTAAAATTGGTACTGACCATGTCTTCGATTTATTGTGTCACACAGTTTGGTGAGTCAAATGAATATTGAGTTAACATTGTATTGCAACGATTACTTTTAGACTTTTTTCCGCAGATATCATCCTTACAAAAAATCATTGAAATTGGAAACAATATGACCATTGGATTATAAGGTACATTTAGTTTTCATTTGAAGTACCGAATTTGTCAATTTTTTTTCAATACAATAGGATGTATTAATGGTTATGTATTTGTTTAATTTTTTGCAAAAATAATTTATAAATAAAGGCTTGAAGCATAAATGGTTTAGATCATTGAAACATCATACAAAGTGAGTAACACAAGGGATGCCTCAGATAGTCCCACAAATGGAGCTCCCCATGTATACACTAGAAGATGTGCAACTCATTGTTTAGAGAAAGATTTTTTTAGCCAAAATGGTCCCTAAGATTTGTATAACTCATCACTTTGGTTCCTGGGATTTGAAATCAATAGAAGTGGTCCTTGAGTTTTTCCACCATCAATCATTTTGGTCATTTCATGAAAAATTATATTAAATAAGGACCAAAATAACAAAAATACTCTCAATTTAATAAACAATGGACCAAATAATTTGACAAAAATTGAAGAAATTTTTGTTATTTTAGCCTTATTTAATGGAGATTTTTCATGGAATGACCAAAATGATTGATTGTGGACAAATTCAGAGACTACCTCTATTAATTTCAAATATCAAGAACCAAAGTGAAGAGTTATGCAAATTTCAATGATCAATTTGACTAAAAAACCTTTCACGACCCCTTTTTTCTCTTTGTGATGCAACTCTTTTTTTAGCGTTTAAATTGAATAGATTCAAGGAAAATTAAGAGGCAAAAAAAAAAAAAAAAAAAAACACGTGAGTTGGTGGAGAATGCTAAAATCATTTTTCTTTTTTAATATCTCATTACATAACCATCATTTATTGAACGGGAAACATTCAAAAACTTACTGCCTTCAAGAAAAGGTTATACAGACAATCATAATACTAGAACCCTCACGCCCTTCATCTGATCCTCATGACTTTTCGTTGCACAGTTGCTGACTTCGGCTTGAAATGCACTTTGGACATCGGAGCATAACCATGCACCCGAACCGGACGTAGTCTCCTGGTAGTTAATGCCTTCTGCCGGAAATTTGATAAGGCGCTGGCGGAACTGCGGGACTGGCGGAGTACCGATGTCGGAAACGCCCTCAAGAATTTGAACCACCTGCCGCATTGTTGGCCTATCCTTCTCATCTTCTTGAATGCACCAACAAGCCACTTTGCACACTCTACTTAGTTCATCTCCATCAGCTTGGCCTTCCAACCTGCAATCTAACACGGCGAAAAGATCTTCCACTTTATTAACTGCGTTAGCGAGCCACAAAGGACGGAAGTTTTCAACCCCGTTATCTAACCCTTCCATGTTTCTCCTCCCTGATATGACCTCAATCAGCAGCATGCCATAGCTAAAGACATCGGCTTTTGGTGTGATGGCTTCACCCGAAAACCATTCTGGTGCGAGATAGCCCACAGTTCCCCTCATGGTTGTTAAAACCCGGCTGTGGTGTCTCCCCAAGAGTTTTGCAAGACCAAAATCCGCCAATTTGGGACTGTATTCTGAATCCAACAAGATGTTCTCTGGCTTAACATCGCAGTGTATTATGCAGTCTCTGCATTCTTCATGGAGGTAAGCCAATCCTCTCGCAATCCCTACTGCAATGTGATATCTAGCCTTCCAATCCAACACTATTGGGTTGTTTCCAAGTAGAAGAGAATGCAGAGAACCATTTGGCATGTAATCATAAACTAAAAACCTCTTCGAAGCGTTCGTGCAGAATCCCCGGAGGCGAATAAGATTAATGTGGTGGATTGCGCCGATAGTTCCCACTTCAGCACGAAATTGTTTCTCTCCCTGGTTCATACTTTTCAGCTCTTTCACTGCTATGGCTGTTGAGTTAGGCAACATCCCCTTGAATACAGAACCAAAGGCTCCTTCCCAGAGTTTTTCGGAGAAGTTGTTTGTTGCTCTTCTTAAATCTCTATGCTTGTAAAGCACCAAAAAATCGTCCGTAGTCACAAATGCTCCTGCTGACCATCTCCTTCTGAAAAATACCACGACAGTGGCAGCACTTAAGATGGAAAAGAACCCTGCAATTACTCCAATCACAATCCAAGTAGTCTTTCTCTTCATCTCACTTGTAGAATCCACATTCCAGATATTCAATCCTGTGACGAATGGAGGATAACTTATGGAATGAGATTCGGAGGTTGCCACTATATCATATAGATCCCCTATCCACATGTAACACCGACCACTATCGAAAGAATTATAAGTAAAGCCAGTGCATGAGCAGTTTATTAAGCATTCTAATCTGCATTGATCAATGCTCACATAGAAATTTTCCTTAAAGTTTTTATTGTATCGTTTTTCAACATCAGTTAACGTCAAAAATGAGTAACTTTCCCCTGGGCTGCAGTGAAAAGGAGTTTTCCTCACACAACCATCTGAGTAGTCCTCTAGTTTCCAATTTTCCCTGACTTTGGGTTCAAATCCTTTGAGGCAACCACAACGAGGAGAGCTCTGCTGGTGGCAAATACTAAAAGCACCACACGACCCCTGGACCGCACACTGGTCCGATGGTTCAACAGAAAGCAAAGTCCATCCCCTAAAGCCTTGGTCCCAGGCATAAAACTTGAGTTGACCATTGATTTCTATTGTGCCTCTAGTAAAGGTATCAGGATAGGAAGATATACTATAAGGCAAAGGTATTTCATCTAACTCAAAAGAAAAAGGACCAAGTGCAGGGTTTTTCGAGTTTCTCCAGGGTGTAAGAACTTGTTTTCTCTTGGTACGATTATTGTATCCAAGCTCAGCACCCGGCAGCCAAGTATTTGTCAGGTAATCGAAACTTTGCCATATAACAACAGATGAATTAAATGCATCTGTTATGACAAAGTTCCCATTGTCAAGAAGCTTTGCTAAAGCAGAATTAGAGGCCATTGATCTTGAATTCGTCGACCATATTGCAACTCTGGAGGGGCTAGTTAAGGTCAAGTTTCCATTTTCTACAAGCTCTAATACTGAAAGTTTCGGTTCAGAAACAGGTTGTTGTCTGTTTGCAACCCAAACTACTGTTCGATTGGCCAGATTTTTGTACCAAATGCCTATGTAATAGTTTTGAGAATTACCTGTTGTGAAGAAACCGAGCTCAAATTTTCCACCTGGAGAGGTGATTGTTTGGCTGCCGGAGAGAGATTGGCCTGGAGAGATGGTGACAGACGCCATGGACATACAAGCAGTGAAGGTAAGGCATAACAAAAATCTCAATATACATGATACACCAGAGTTCGTATCCATCACTTGATAATATTGCAACAAAGAGTTAGATTGCTGCATCAAAACATAGTAATCTGACTTACAAGTCAACAAAGGAACAGCCTAACAGTAATGAACTACACCAAGTAATGAACGAAGAGTTGGATTGCTGCAAAGAGTCATATAATATGGAGTCAAACTTTGGTCTTTGTCTTGTCTTGTCTTTATTAATTAATTAGACTAATGCAAAGAGTCATATAATATGGAGTCAAACTTTGGTCTTTGTCTTGTCTTTATTAATTAATTAGAATAAAATTTAAATATTGGCGCACAATTTTAACATCGTGTGGGACAATAAGGGTTAAATATATTTTTTGCAGTTTCTCTCTAAAGGCGATGCTGTATGTTTTGGAGATATGTTATTTGTCCGAAGTTGATACTCTTCGTTTTTTAGCTAAAATAGTTTCTAAGATTAGTATAATTCTTAATTTTAGTCTTTGATGTTAAAAATTGATATGAGTGATCCTTAAGTTTGTACACCGAAAATCATTTTGATCATTCCATAAAAAGACTGTCAATATCATTATTAAGTGGAAGAGTTGGTTTGAGATAAATACCCTTAAAAGTCATGTGAAAATTTAACGAGAATATTAACAACTTTCACAAGATGATCAAAATGATTTATGATTGGCAAACTCAATGACCACTTTTATCTATTTTCGTTGTCAAAAATCAAAGCAAAAAATTATGTCAATCTCAAAGCTCTAAGTCCAATGCAAATATTCACTTCTATGTTTTCCTTTTGACGTTTAAGCATGTACGCAAGAGAAATGTAAACAAAATATTGTAGCTGATGGGCTTGCAAACCCTTCAGCTTTAAGTCTTACTTTGGGCTGTAATATTTTTCCTAATGAAAATTAATGAAAATGGCTTGAAAACTTTGAGTTCTAATTATAAGGACAAAATAAAGGGTAAAGTGAATAATACCAGGTTTGACTTTTTAGTGTAAAAATGTGATTTTTCGTTAAAGTGAACAGTACCGCGGGTTTTTTATTAAAACTCTCATTTTTCTACCCTTCCTTCCATGTTTGGGCTAATCAAGATAAGAATGTGACAAGAACTACAGCCATCCTTCACAGATCAATTTGTCATCGAATATCGGCGGGGAATTGGGCATGTGGAATTCCAAAAGCTTAGAAAGCCCAGTGCAGGCAGTTCAGCCATGGCAGTGCGGGAAAATCATGTTCATTTAGAGGACTGTGTCATCCATATGTCCACTCACACAACTAGGCAAGACCACCTTTGTATTCAGAAGCACACTAGCTTGATTTCACCAATCTCATATAGACGGTTCACTTGGTTGTGTGTGGGTCTACGAATAGCATTACGATCTCGGTAATGTTTGGGTCCAAAATACTGGTTTGGGCCGAGTTTATTCTCGGCCTAGAGGTCGTGCTTAAGAGTCGCTCGGGATCGTCCAGCTCATGGGCCGCATACTCAAGGCTTGTTGTGTCCCATTGGGAATCCATGGAATGTGGGTGAGTCCTATTACGAGAAGGAGTTTCGACAAGATAAGGATGTTGAAGTTCGAGATTGAATGTGGCCTGATAAGGGGTTGAGTTCAAAGTCCTAGTAGGAGTATGACTGGCCGAGATAAGGTTGGATCGGGGAAAGGAGTTCTAATCCGAGAATGGTTGTGATTCGATCAGAAGCAGGTTAGCTACTATAAATAGAGGGAGGAGGACATCATTCAAGCCCCCTCCAATTCAACACACAAACTGCCCTGCACAAACCCTCGTTCTACGCGAAACCTCTCAACAACCTTGAGATTTTTATTTTCTTTTTCAGTCAACACATCTTCAGTTTGGATAAACAGCACTGTGAAGGCAACCGGCGAACATCTTCAGTTTGGATAAACAGCACTGTTGCCGTAGAATCAGCCGACCGCGGAGCATCTTCAGTTTGGATGAACATCACTACGTCGAGGCTGACTAGTTACCTATCCAAGTCTCGGTTGAGAAGGATTTTCGAATCCTTATTGACAAAGGTCATCTCATTAGCCTTCTCGGCGAAGTGAGGTGTTACTAGGACTCAGCACATTGCACACCGAGTTGTTTTATGATTGGATACTCACAAGTAGGCTTTAGAGTTTGGCATTCTGACGGTCGAACCACATTTACCATCAAGACATATATTTGTTTTGAGTATATGTGCCCCTATACTCTAGTGTCAATTCAGCATGCTTATATTCTTACGAATATAATCACTGTGATCGAATCCAGCGTCAACGATTTGTGAACTTCACAGGACTAGTAGCCTTATCTTCAGGCTCTAAAACCCAAAGGCCGAGACATGTTCCTTCCTCGGCCACAGTCACAAGATCAAGAAGTCAGTCGCGCGCTCAACGCAACATCAACACATTTTACTCCTCGGCCGACGAGTTGGCACACCTGCATCAACCGAAGAACGTAGTTAGCTCATTAGTTACTCGGCCTACGCACCACGTAGACTTGGTAGTTTTTAGGGTCAATAGGTAGACACGAGAATTTCTCTGATAGTATCCTCTGTGAGTACATTGATTCTAGCTAACAATCCCAATGAAAAGAATATACTGAGAACAAATTAAATTCATGCAACTACACCTGAAGGTCAACAATATATAACAAGCACACATAGATTTTAAATCTATGGTACCTGAAATCCGCATTCAAATTGCATAAACATATTATCATTTGCCTCGATATCAAACATATATTATCTTATTGAAACAACAGATTCAAACCTAAGAACCTAAGGTCCTAAGGTCCTAAGACGGAAGAACCAAGGGAAAAAATGGTTACCAATGCCTGAAGTGCCTAACTTTTGTGAAAAGAAGTGAAACTCCATACTTTTTTATAGCAGTCTATGGCATCTCATCTCTAATGCTCCCCCACCGGGTTCTGCAATTACTCGACTCTTCCACTGCATCTTTCCATGCAGCGTGCATACGACATTGATCTCATTAAGCTTCCGCTTGCACTCCGTTCTTAAATAACATAAACAAAAGTTAATGCATGAGCTAGTAATTACCGATTGGGAAGAAGGCATCGCTGGCCAAAGCTGCACCCTTGACCTCTTCTCCATTTATTGCGTTTTGTTATTGCGACTTTAAAAATGTCGTCTTGCACTTCTCTCTATACAAATTTTTCCTTGTAATTTCATATGTTTTGAGTGCAGGTTGACCTTGATTGCATATGCATCATTACGGCTCTAATGACTCATGAGTGCGAGTTAGGATTGATCAAGATTCATTTTTGTAGGCTCCTTGACTTTTGAAAAAAAATGAATTCTTCGTTTGAAGATCAACCTAGTAAAAAATAAGGCCATCTCCAACCGAAGGGTCCAAAGAACCAGATGGTCGAAAATAGCTCGAAAACCGTCTCCAACCGAGGGCTAGGCCAGAGGGCTATGGAATCTGAGAGGGCCCTATGGAATTGGAAAGGGCTGGAGGGTTGGCTGCATGAAGCTGGCCAGCCAGCCCGGGACTGGCCAGAAAAAATGGAAATCCTCTCGGTTATAACTGACAGGATTTCCATGATTTTTTTTTTTTTTGCAGTTTATTATTATTTTTTATTTACAAAATTTTTCCTATAACTTCTATTTTTCATATTTTTTTTCCTATAACTTTTATTTTACAAAATTTGTTTCATATATTTTTTTTTAAATTCCATTTTTTCCTATAACTTCTATTTCACAGAATTTGTTTCATTTTATTTTAAATTCTATTTTTTTCCTATAACTTCTATTTCACAAAATTGGTTTCATATTTTTTTTTAATTTTATTTTTTTCCTATAACTTCTTAAGTCTATTTTATCTGACAGAGGGACTAGGGCCGGCGGCAGAGAGAGAGAGGAGAGAGATGTGTGTTTGTAGAATTGTAGGGGAATGTGTGTGTTGTTATCCCTCCTACATTGTGCCTTTATTTATAGTAGTAAAGGGAGAGAAGATATTCCTTCTCCTCCAAGTAATACAAGTTGTAATAGGAAAGGATAACTAGAATCAAATCTTATCTAGGATTTACACAATCATACTTAAACTAGGAATGTTTACAACACTCCCCCTTGAGTGGGTAAATACTCAAGGTAGATTCAGCATCATGCAGAAGTTGAGGAAGTCGACTCGTCGGCATTGATTCCAAGGAACAACGCTTATTCTCAATCAAGGTAGGTAGGAACTTGCATAAGTAGTAAGTCTCACTAAAAAACCCTAAGGCTATGGCAAAAACCCAAGTAGGGACAAAATCCATAGTCTAAGGAAAAATGCGTGAGAAATGCAAAGTCAAAAGAAACGTCTACAGGACGTCATCAGGGATATGATCAGCCCAAGGTGGGTGCCTCGTTAAAACCTAGTTAGGTAGCAAAAACCCAGTGGGAAAAATGCTCCTAATCGTAGGGAAAAAGAGTACATTAAGATCAAGCAAGTATCTAGAAGATACTCCCCCTGAGTTTGACATAATTCCAAAGAGAAATAGCAAAGTTACAACTCAGAAAGTTTACGCATACCAATTCCATGAACAAGCTTCTGAAACGTCGCCTTCGGTAGTGATTTGGTGAAGAGGTCGGCTAGATTGTCTTGTGATCGGATTTGCGTGACTTCAATCTTCTGATGCTCTTGTTGTTGATGTGTAAAGAAGAACTTCGGCGCAATATGCTTGGTGTTGTCTCCTTTGATGTAACCCTTCTTGAGCTGTTCGATGCAAGCTGCGTTGTCTTCAAAAATCGTCGTCGGGGTATTAACGGCGGGCTGAAGATCACAGGAGCTTCGAATATGGCCCACTACTGCTCTCAACCAAAAGCATTCCCGAGTTGCTTCATGTAAGGCGAGAATTTCAGCATGGTTAGACGAAGTGGCAACTAAGGTCTGTTTAGTTGACCTCCAAGATATTGCGGTGCCTCCAACGGTAAAGACATAACCCGTTTGAGAACGCGCCTTGTGCGGATCAGATAAGTATCCAGCGTCGGCATAACCAACAAGGCGAGAATCAAC